TCGTGAATCGAATCGTGAGTTGAGTGAATCGTTACATCCCTAATAATATCATATCATATAATATCATATAATATACATACTTTTGTGTGCAGCCCAATTTTTGTTTTTGTGTGGACATATTTTTATATGAATTAATACAATAAAATATAATGCAATAAAAATATAATTGTAATTAATGTAATTCAAATCATCTCCAAAAGGTGTTTAAAATATAATATAATGTAATATGATATAATATAATTTAATAACACAATTAATTGCATCCAAAATAAATGTTTTTGTTTACATAATATATGTGTGTGTACTGTGTATATTTATTATGTATATATAAATACAAATTTGAATAAATGACACCTTAAACATATGAAACATGGAAAACATGAAACATGAAAAAATATAAAATTTCTATAGAGTAGGTTGTGGCTTAGCTAGCTAGATTTTTTTCCAATATCTTTCCTGCTAATTAGGTGATTTAGCTGATTCTTTATGCAAAATACTTATAGAACATTTATTCCCCCTGGAGAAACCTGGGTTAAGTGCCTTGCACCAAAGGTAATGGTTTATGGATTGCAACTTTTGGTTTTGAACCAACAACAATCATCCAGGGTTGTAACCACTAAGTGATCCATTGAGCACTGATGTTCATTCACACATCTCACAGAACCTCATATTATGCAATAGTTTCTGAAAACTCCTGCCATTTGGTTCAAGGTCCTTTGAGAGTATCCTGAACTCTGGCTTTATTTTCTCCCACATTAAACAGTCTCTCTCCAGGTTGCTACGCTGGGCAGGTGGCATCGCTTGTGCTACCCTTCTCTTCGATTTGCACTGCCCTCTGCTAAATACTGAACCGAGTGGGTGGCTTTCAAACTTTTAAGCCTCTCTGCAGATAGTCTGTAAGGAAAAAAAACTGTCTTTATTTAAAAAAAAAAAAGAGTGGAGAGAGAGAGTTTGAAGCAAAGAGGACGTCTTTGAGGTGAGCGATGTCGACAGCCTGCCCACATTCACTCTAATGACAAAAACATATTCAACAGACAATCCGCCATGAAGATGCCATCCACTGAAGCACTGAGGAAGTAAACAAGAAAAAACTCAAACCAACAGAGTAAAATAGATTTCTTGAAACAGAATTTTTGTTGTCGTCGCCGATAAGGATCACAGAACGATTGGTGTTCAAAGCAGAGACGGTGACAACCTCAGAAACCCCAGCGGAGATCTAGTCCAACCTGAGCTGTTATGATCACAAGGAACATTGATTTTTCTAAACCTCAGAGGACTGACCCTTGTTCGCTGTATTCTAACAGGTGCAGACACATGGCAATTGTCAATCTTGCCTCAGTCTCTCCCAAATAGCTGTTCAGTATGGCTGACTGGTGCTTTTTATTGGTTTTTCTGATGGACGTGGCAGAGATGCCGTAAATAACTTCATCCAATTGTTCATTTTCTCGGTCATGGCTGCCATGCCGGCGGAGAGCCTGAGTTTTCTTCATTCTGATTTGAAGCAGAAGAGCCTCTCTCGTGAATCATTTTAGCGAGTGTGTTCATGAGCCACGCAACTCTACTGATTATTTACTCATATAAGTGATTTTGGAAAGCATTCTTTCCAAATCCATGTCAAGTTGGGAGCTAAATTCTTTTGTAAATTCTATTGAAAAAGTCGTGCTGTACTCTAGGTTTGACCTTGCAATGGCTTTCTATATTCCATTAAGTTGAAGAAACTTAATTTTGTACAGATACAGCTCGACCTTATTAGTACTGATTTAAGTTTTTTAATCCTGATTCGAGGTAATTACTGTAGCATAAGTCAAGGCCGTAACCATGTCTTGAACACTTTACATTTGTTTTATAAAGTATAAAGAAACAGAACATTGAAGGGTCTAATTCTAGTTGGGAAGTAATCATTTTGAACTATTTGCAAATAATATTTTAAAATATGCACACATGCTTATTACTGTATGTCGAAAACGCAAAATGTATCTTTTCTCTTCACATTCAGTTAGGAATGACATGAATCCCATAAATGATACCATATTTTCAATTCAATACAGCAAAATTTGAGCATAAATGTTGAGTAGTTTGCATCACTGGATTTAACATTTCTGTCGTAAAACCGTAGTGTTAAATGTTTCGCTACTTCAATCTTACTTCACTCTCCTTCAACTTTAAAATGACGCTTGAAGCTGGAATTCATGCTCTGCTTCTGTGAACTGTAAATCCTGCCTACCTTAATTTCATTGGCTGTTAGACCTCTGAGGCAGACCAGCAACTTTTAAACCTTTTTTTGGGACACAAGGAATAGCCTGATTCCTGATTCTCCCGCACAGCGCTGACGAGAATTTGTTCCATTTGAATTCGACACACGACACTTATAACATTATATGTGAACAATAAAGGCTCTTGAGCTAGCTGAAACCAGATTAAATAGCTCCGATAACGTAAACTGAAATATCGAGGTAAACTGTGCAAAACGGTAAATACAAGCATTTCTATCCGTACAGCACTGCGATTTACCATGCAGTTACCAACACTGTAGGAATATGGCATTATGGTAGTCTATTTATTATTAATGTCACTATTAGTATAGGCTACATATATTAAATATTGGGTAATATAAAGGCAATAAGTCACTTTTAGAGGTTGTTTTAGTTTCATGTGTTTAAGATGTTTTTCATTACAAATAGCATAGTTTTCTTCTTCTTAGTTTTGTTGTTGTTATAGAAACCATAAAGCCATGGAAATGAGGATCATGGTTTTTGCTTGATTCATGATCTTACTAATACTACAGATAACTCTGGATTCAAGAATTACAGTGGCGTTCCAATAGGGCAACTACAAATGAGAATTTAATAGTTCTAATAAACTTTAATTGAAGTAAAATATTAATTCAGTAATCAAGACCCTGTAATATAAAGGAATATTAATATTGTTAAATGCCTTTGCAGTATATTCAAAATATCTATTATTTGTTTCCATCCTTTATTTATTAATAAATAATTTATTTAATCCAATTGCAGTCGTATATGCAAAAGTTGTTGCTGTTTCTGGAAACCTGTTCGCTTTGACCTCATAAAGTATGTTAATGCATTTATGCTTTTAATGTGTTGTATCCAGGAATATTTAGTATGCATATATTCATTGTATCTCTGTGCTTGAAATTTTGTATTAATACTAAATTTTTTAAAATTATTTTAAAATACTACTTGTGGTAGAAAACATTGTGGCATCAAGCTACTATGAAGGGCGGCCCTTGGGTTTGCTATAGCTCCAGGGCCCTGTGTATGCTTAATCCGGCCCTGCTTGGGCGTGCATTCTTTTTTAATAATTCAATGGACTGGAGTCAATTATTCCGCTTATACTACAGTTACCACACCTCAATTGTTGTTCAGATGTTGTATTTAAAGACATTCGTCAGGTTTTTGTCCATAAAACGCTCTTGTGTGTAGGATTAATTTCTTAGACATCTCATCCCACACTTCTGTTACTAATTCCAAAACGTCATTTTAGACCTGTAACGGAGGCTTGAACCGTTGATAGCAGACTAATGCAGTTATTAATCAAGTTATGAGAGAGAGAGATTAA